CTTCTTTCACCTTCCTTAGTCTCCTCCTCTATCTTCTCTTTCACCCTCCTTCGTTTCTCTGTGGTCGAGCTTTGCGGCTATGGCCGCCTCCTTCTTCCTCGTGGAACTGCACGGCGCACTTCAAAGGTACGTGACAACCAAACTTGTATCGCTCATCTCTCTCTCTCCCTCTCTCTTTCTCTCTCTCTCGCCTTAGCGATATCTCCAACACAGGTACGTAGTAAGCCAATCTTGAATCACTCAACCTTTCTCTCTCTCTCTCTCTCTCTCTCTCTCTCTCTCTCTCTCTCTCTCTCTCTCTCTCTCTCTTCTTCTTCTTCGTCGTCGTGGTCTTCTCTGCAGGTGCGCGCGACGACTTCTTCAACCTCCGTGTCTGCTATGGCGGACTTCTTCTTTGTTAGCCACTTCGGCTATGGCGCGTCACTCTCCCTGCGACACACAACGACGAGCGTGGAATAGCGGGTACCAGCTCCGATACCAATGCAATCAGACTCGCTTTCATTCACACTTCTCATGCATGCAAACAGGTGCACAGCAAACTGGCGACAAGCGCCCACTCAGAACTCAGAGATCTGGTAACCGAGAACACAGTTCAGATTCAAGTTCACTTCGATGGCTATGGCGACTCAGCGTCCACACAACTCTCTGTTCGCATACACAGGATCACCCTGGATATCCCACGCGCGATACTCTGAACACCCACACACACTCGCACTGCACTCTACCTACAGCTATGGCAGCTATGGCCGCTACTGCCCTATCGCTATGGCTACACTCCTTCTCTCTCGCCCACTTCGTCCTCGGGCTCACTGCAGACCTCCTTGCACAAGTCGCTTATGGCAGCGCTTCCGCATGGCTCACGCAGGAATGAATGAATGACTGGGCGCTGCCTCTTGATTTATACGTCTGCAGCTCGTTGGTCTGGCCCTTTCCCATGCCCGTGGTGCACACAGTCCCATGCGGTACTTGCTTGACTGGACTAGGACTGACTGGGACTGGGACTGCTGACTCAGCACGGGTAGACTCCACCACTTGCCTCACCACTTGCCCACTTGCCTCAGCCTAAACGTGGGCAACTTCGAAAGGCCACTACTGGGACCTTCCGGAAGGCCGCAGACTTGGCCTTTCGAGACTGTAGCAGCTTACGACCTTGACCTTTCTGGACTGTATCAGCTACGACCTTGACTCTTCGGGAAAACTACAGCCACGACTTCTAGACCTGACTAGGACTCCTACTCGACAGGTCTACAGATCGAACCCCTGCTACCTATAGACCCTACGACAGTCTACTGACTGTTACAAATACACAGGTCACGGGTTCAACTCTAGGGGTCGACACAGATACTGTACACAGGTAAGGTGGGGGCTAGGGATCGAACCCTGGGATCTGGATCAGCTACTGCGAACTGGTGAATACCGTTTCACACAGATGGGAAGGGTGGGAGGGAGAAAGAGAACTGCAGTCAAACTGATAGCACTTCCCCAACCCTCGTAGGGTCAGCTAGATCGCCCAGATATGGAGGAACTAATCAAAATGAAAATTTTGGCTGAACTTGCAAACAATAAAAATTATCAGGACAGGGAAACAAAATCCAAAAAAAAAAGCGTCCTGATGCAGCAAGTTCTAAGTTTCCCCGCAATATCCCCCCTTTTTATAAGTTCCGAAAAAAAAGTTGAAAACCCAACTGCGGCTAAAAAGGACGGATTAATCAGAAGTGCAATACTCTAAGAATGAGCAAATCTGAATTTTCAAGAGAACAATGCAAAATTAGTTTTTTTTGTTGAAATACTAACACAAAGTATGAAAAAAAAAAAACGAATTTGCACTGAAGACTCTGTGAAGAGAGGGAAAAAAAATCCGAATTTCCAAAAAGAAAAAGATTCGTGATTTTACAGCAAGGAGAGTTGTGATTCAGGTCGCAATAGTCCTGATTCACCCTGACCACTCCGATACCAACTGATGCATGCTCATAGACAACGTAAGCAATGCAAAGGAGCAGAAGGGCCAGTGAGGTGATGATAAGGACTCAGACATACACAGTGAGATCGATGACATACATAATGACATCAAAGAGACAATGTGTATCCATACAATCATAAAATGGTACAGTGTAGCACAGCCGAAAACTCAAACATACGACCTGACTCAATGGGCAGACCTGACTCATACCATCATCATCACACATGTGAGAGAGAAGGGAGGCTGCATGCACAGAGGACAAGGTCCCCCGCCCTTGACCACACACACGAGAGGTATACCACAGATGATGGGAGAGAAAGGAGCGAGACAAAGATGGAGGCGAGGGAGTAGAACAGAGTTGAATACACTGCTGTCAAAAAAAAATAGTCTCCCTGTCAAGTGTCCAACCAATGTCTGCCCCAAGAATGTCGAATCAGATCCTTGTCGCATCCGACCTCTCTCACATAGTACAAGATAGCACAGCGGAAGGCTTAAATACCAATGATCCGAACAATCAATGTTGCCATGCAGACCAAACGTACATCATCATCATTCCATGGTGTGAAGGGGCCTGGCGCTCACACAGGAAGAATGCGCCAATCCGCAACCATACACAGACCAAGAAGAGGGGGGTTAAACGAAGAAGAGGGGAAGATGGGAATAATGTCAACACCAAGTCTTCGGTACAGTCCCAAATAATCCCTCGTCAAATGTCTGAATCCCAATGTCGAGTCTAGATTCAAATGTCGTCAAGTCCCAAAGTCACCAATCTCTCTCTCTCTCGTAGTAGTAGTATTCTCAATGTCTTTCTGATATTGGACTGCAAATTCACTAGTCCCTATAGGAAGCTTATGTACTTGATCCGGGTTCAATCGATCAATGGGTCTGCGTGGACGCCATCCCAAATGTAACTCCATAGGAGTCTTACACGTAGATAGGTGTACAGAGTTATTGCAAGCACCAAGCAGCCTAAGCATGATGATGAGGGCCAGTTAAGGGGGGAAGCAGGCCGAAGAAGAAGAGACGATAATACTTACCTAGAGCGTGCAGAGTGTCGGAGCATCATCGGCGGTATCTTCAAGAAGAGAGAAGCACCTCCTTTCCCTGAACCTGCATGTATGTGTGTGTCCCCTACCTTCTCTCTCTCTGACCCTCTGAAGGTGACTGTTGCTGATCTGGTCTGAAGTCGAAGTCTGGATCTGGATCGTCCTAGAGTCTAGATGGTCCAAGTGCGATGTGTCAGGGCCTGGTCACACTAGATTAGGTGGTCCAGTGTTCTGCGAGTAGGAGTAGACTTCTCTCCTACCCCTCTCGATAGGCAGGTTGTGTCATCATCATCAGGAACAAAGAATTGATGTGGGTAGTGGCCATATGCCACGCCAGATTACAGATACCAGGCAATGCAAGATTCGTGATGTATCTACAGGGCCAGCTAAGCCCGAAAGAAAGAAAGAATTGAGCGAAGTATTTCTGCCTGGTAACCATCTGCATCTGACCTTCTTC